CTCTCTCTCTCTCTCTCTCTCTCTCTCTCTCTCTCTCTCTCTCTCTCTCTAGATATGTAATAAAATATATAGACAATCAAGTTTATCGCGAACAGTCTGCTATAAATTTTGTCAGCAAGTTTGGTACAAAATCTGGCACATTTAATTATACCAAAATGCTGGTAGAAATAAGCGCGTTAATAAAATATGATGATTAATGATAAAAAATCAAACTTTAATAAACTTGCTGTACAGTCTGACATAGATGGTCAGCAAAATTTTTATATTTGACAGATATACATATAATTTATCTTCCAGCATTTTACTTTTTGTTCCATTAAGTTTCATGATTAGAGCGTACATACTCAACGTAGACATCTGCGGGATGCGAAACGAAGAAGATTGATTTTTGGCTCGTGTCGCTACGTCGATTCTTCGCCGAGTTATAGCGTTTTAAAAATCCGGCGCGCGCGCATCATTCATGAAAGGCGCCGCAAGTTTTTTGAATTTCGAAGATGCGCTAATCCTCCGTAATCCCAAAAAACTGGTGTGAAAACATGTGTTTTGCAGATAAGTACCACGAAAGCAGTTTACGCGAGTTTTTTGTATGTTATTTGGCCGCGAGCGTGCTATAATCCCCAAAAAACTAGCATAAAAACACGCGAGGCACATGTGCTCGGAAGATAACATCACCGCACGAGACGCACGACGTGCGCGCCCTCTGCTGTCTGTTCTACGTTAGATCGCGAATCGATATAATCATCAATATCTTCGCACAGAAAAATCGTAGCAAGATGATCCTGGTGTCATTGGAAAGCTAACATTCCAGTGCTTCTAATGAGATGAGAATCGTTTATCTCGGGTCATTAGTTTACGAGATATTATTAATTCCGTAAATAAAATTGGTCTTGTCCCGAGATCGAGATTGTGAATTGATCTCCGCTAAAAAAAAATACAGTAGTAGGATCTTCAGTTTGTTAAAAAGCTAAAACTTTAGCGCTTTCAAAAATGTAATTTAAAAACCAATTTTGTTCTGGAAATCAATCTCCATCTCTTATAGCAGAACTCACTACAGCTTCGAATTCTACCGTCCTAACTTAGAAAACAGTATCTCCCAAATTGTTAGTTTCGAGAAAACGCGCATTTAAGTTCTTATAGCTAGGGCACCACAAAAATAATTAAAAATTGCTGTCATCAACTTGTTACAATCATTACTTGATAAGTACTTATAAATACTAGGCTAATATTTAATTTTCTGCTCAGAGAATTCTGAATATGTCCATTTGCATTCAGTTCGTCGCCTCGCTGTTATCAAACTTGTCTCCAGAATCTCGGTTACTTGCGTTAACCTACCTCGAGTTTACAACGGTTAGATTTCACAAAACTCAACACAGGAGGAAATCGCCACCCTGGCCCCTAATTGTCGGTCGCTTTGCGCTTTAATCATTATGCTAATCGCATGACTACTATATAGGCCAAATTTCGCAACTCCATGAATACGTAATACTGCCGGGAATGTCGATAAATAGCGATTATTGCTTTATCCTCTCTTTGTCTTGCATATTATCTATCCACGTGTCGTAGCTGTTCCATAACTTGACTCTTTACGACGTCACATTACGCTGCGATATATTATATTACGGTTACTATAATAAAAACATATATCCTGCTTAACGCGCCTCTCTAATATTCATTCATTTTATTCCCATAATTCAGACTCTAATTACATCTGCGGTAAGCCTTTCTTTTTTCAGTCCGAATAAAAGATTGAATACATGAACAAAAAGGAAAAAAAATTTATCCTCAAAATCTCCTGACCACAATGACAGGAATATAAAACTGAATGTGAAACAAAATTTAAAAAAATTTTTTTAAATGAATCATATAATTCTAAGATTATACTAAAAAATAATCTTACCATGACTCAGAGAGCGTAAAAATATATGTAGGGAAACAGCCGCAGGTATAAGAGTCAACACCGGCGAGACGTGCGTGGGGAAATAAGCATAAATACCTAATAGAGAGAAACGAGAAGAACAAATTAGACTATCCTACGATTTTTATCCCTTGGTATAAAGGCTGCTGTTAAAAA